TATATATATATAAAATCCAGCAGATGGCAATGTCAAGCTTGCAGCTTCATCATGAAGGCTAGGGTGAAACTGGGTATGTGGGAGAACCTCAGGGACCTGAGACCATATTTTTTTTTCTCTCTTGCATGTCTCACAGTGCTAGTATAGGGATTTTTACATAAAAGAGTCTCAATAAAATTCTGAGAAAATAGATTAATGCTAGTTAAAGCCATTAGTTAAGGTGAGGTCAACAGGAAAGAGAGTAGGTGGGACTAAGGATAAAAACTTGTAAGTAGCCAGGCATGATGGTGTATGCCTTTAGTCCCAGCACTTGAGAGGCAGAGTCAGGTGGATCTCTCTGTGATCGAGGTCAGCCTGGTCTACATAGTCAGTTCCAGGCCAGCTGGGGCTACAGGGAGACCCTGTCTCAAAAACAACAAAAAACTGTAAGTGGAGTATAGGGGAAGAAGAGGAGCCCATATGCTAATTCATGGGTGGAATGAATCTCTGGGCAATAATATCCTCCCCATGCTTTTTTAAAAAATATTTTATTTATTATTTTTATTTTATGTGTATGAGTGTATTGTCTGCATGTATGTGAATGCACCCGTGTTGTGCAATGCCACGGAGGTCAGAAGAAGGCTTCGGATTCCCCTGGAACTGGAGTTAAGGATGGTTCGTACCTACCATGTGGGTGCTGGGAATCAAGTCCAGGTCCTCTGTAAGAGCAGTCAGTGCTCTTAACTGCTGAGCCATCTTTCCAGCCCCCTCCCCATGCTTTTAATTTCTTTTCTTTTTCTTGTGTATGTATGTTTGTGGCATATATGTATGTTCACATGTGTGTGAGCATACATGTGCTCTTATGTGTAGAGGCCCAAGGTTGACATCAATAGCCTTCCTCTATCACTCTCCAACTTATTCATTGAGACAGGGTCTCTCAGTTGAACCCAGAGTTCACTGATATAGACTAGGGATCCTGCCCCTGCCTTCATAAGGCTGGAATTATAAGTGGACACCAGTACCACCTGGCATTTACATGGCTTTTAGGATCCAGACTCTAGTCCTCACTCTCCCCAGCCCTAATTTATTTATTTTATTTTATTTTTTTATTTTTTTGGTCTTTTTGAGACAGGTATTCCCTGTAGCCCCAGCTGGCCTGGATTTGATATGGAGACCAGGCTGGCCTCTAACTCACAGAGATCCACTCGCTCCTGCCTCCTGAGAGCTGAGACTAAAAGTATGCATCACCATGCCCAGCAGTTTATTTCTTTTTAATAGACATTGCTAATCAGGCTTGATACATACATCAAAGTCACCTTTGACTGTCCTTCCTTCACACTGAACTGGTTGCTGAGTCCTGTGGATACTTCCTTATACATGACTTTAAAAACAGTGATTATGGGACTGGAGAGATGGCTCAACAGTTAAGAGCACTGACTGCTCTTGCAGAGGACCAGGGTTCAATTCCCAGCACCCACATGGCAGATCCACAGATGATTCCTAACGTTCTTTTCAGGCTCCCATATTCAAGGGATGAACTCTAGCTTTCAAGAAGCATTTCCCTGCAGAGAACATATTATACAAATCCAATAGATGGCATTCTAACACCACAGTTCAAATACAGAATGAATTTTTAAATAATCTCAATTTTTATTTTTTTCTAATTTTTATTTTATGTGTGTGGATATATTGCCTGCATCTAGATAAGGGCACCCATGTCATACAGTGCCCAAGGAGGAGAGAAGAGGCCGCCACTGGAACTGCAGTTTTGGACAGTTGTTAGCTGCCATGTGGGTGCTGGGATTCGAACCCAGGTCTTCTGCAAGAACAGCCAGTGTTCTTAACTGCTGAGCCATCTTTCCAGACCCTAAATAAAATATTTTTTAAAAAATGATTATGCCAGGCTTGGTGGCGCACATCTTTAGTCCCAGCACTCGAGAGGCAGAGGCAAGCAGATCTCTGAGTTCGAGGTCAGCCTGGTCTACATAGTGAGTTCAGTCCAGCTGGGGCTACAGGGAGACCCTGTCTCAAAAAGACCAAAGCAAAACAAAAAAGCTTTATAAAATAACATTTGCAAAATGTAGGAGACAAAGAAAAAATTTAAAAACCTACTTATACTCTTACCATCCAGGCAAAAACAATGTTAACACTATTGATATTCTTCAACTATTAAAAATGTTCTGTAGCCGGACGTGGTGGTGCATGCCTTTAATCCCAGCACTTGGGAGGCAGAGGCAGGCAGATCTCTGTGAGTTCTAGGCCGGCTTGGTCTACATAGCAAGTTCCAGGCCAGCTAGGACTACAGGGAGACTCTGTCTCAAAAACATCAAAAAAAAAAGAAAAAAAAGTTCTGTATGGGCCAGTAAGATGGATTAGCAGGTAAAGGCACTTGCTGTGCAAGCCTGGCAACCCGAACCCAGAATCCATCCCCAGAACCCATATAAAGGTGGAAGGAGAAAGCCAACTCACAAAGTTGTCCTCTGACCTCTATACACACTGTGGCACATACATCCACAAATACATATCATGTATACACAGTAGTATTTTTTTTTAAGCCTGTGTTTGTCTTATTTTGTTCACACCACCACCAGCCTGAAGCAGGTCCTCATCTGTTGCCAGCCCCATGCTTGGCTGTCTGGTCAGTTATATAAACTTCCTAAATGAGCTCTCTGTTTCCAGTTTCTCTTGCCTTCCATCCGTTTTAACCACAATTGCCAACTCCATTAAAAATTTCTGGCTGATTGTGCTTTAGTACACAAAAGCTTTCTGTGTCCCTTGTTCAGGTTCAAATTCCCTACCCTGCTGTCATTTGGAGCCCTGTTGGCTAATTCAACTGTTTCAATCATACTTCCCCCCATTTTTTCTACATCTGTATTTTTCATGCCTTGGTACTATTGATATCTTGAGCTTGATAATTCAATGTTGTAGGGCCTGTTCTGTGCACTGTGTGAAGTTTAGTAGCATCCCTACCTAACCTCTGTACACTTGATGCCAGCAAGACCCCTCCACCCTAAGTCAGATGACCAAAATGTGCCCATACATTGCCTAGTGTGCCTTAGGGTGCAGAACTGTCCCCAGCTGAAAATCGCTGCCTTCCACATACCTTATATCAATCCAACTGCATTGCCTGCTTCTGCCCTTCACTCTACACCTCCCCTGTCTCCTTGGTCTTTGCTGCATTGTCCCTTGAGACATCACTGGCAACTTGCAGTCAGCTTGTCAAGGCATAGTTCAGAGGAATCTTCCAAGGACTTCACCCTTCCTATCACTAATTGCATGCATGTAGTGCATATACATACATCCAGGCAAAACACTCATACATAAAATAAAAGTGAATACTTTTTTTTTTTAAAGTGATGGTAGGCTGGCCATGGTGGCATATGCCTTTAATCCCAGTACTTGGGAGACAGAGGCAGGCAGATCTTTGTGAGTTTGAGGCCAGCCTGGTCTATATAGAAAGTTCTAGAAGGGCAGCTGAGGCTACAAGGAGACCCTATCTCAAAAAAACAAAAAAAAAAAAAAAAAAAAAGTGATGGTGCTAGAATCCCATGACAGTGATCATAAACTGGGTATGTGGTTATGGGAAGAGCGAGCACTGTCCTGGACTTCCTTTTCTTTTCCTTTTGCAGTGCTGAGGTGAAATCAGGGCCATATGCCTACAGAATACATGCTGTCCACTGAGCCACACATTCAGCCCTGCCCTGGTTTTCTAAGTTGTGTATTAAACATTTTTTTTTTTTTTTGGAACCAGAAGAAAAATTCCACTAAAAAGATATTTAGAGCCAGGCGTGGTGGCGCACGCCTTTAATCCCAGCACTCAGGAGGCAGAGGCAGGCAGATCTCTGTGAGTTCAAGGCCAGCCTGGTCTACAGGACAGCTGGGGCTACAGGGAGATCCTGTCTCAAAAAAAGACCAAAAACAAAAAGATATTTAGCAGTTAGTTGAAGGAGTTGTAGGATACAAGGCAAAGTTTTGTTGAGTTTGTCTTTGTTTAGCAACAAAGGGCTATTGGCAAGCAGAGTGGAAGAGGCTGTGGGGAAGAGAGACAAGGATGCAGACCAAGGTCACAGGCGAGTGGGAGGGTTGAGTGACAAAGGAGTCAAGCTTAGAAAGTGGAGTAACTTCTATGTGCAGAGAAATGTCGGGGATACAGACAGTAAATACAATATTCAGCTAGATAATAGCCTAATGCCCTTCCAACTTGAGACCAGGTTTCCAGATGAAGGAGCTTGTGTGATCTGTGAATGACCAACCATATCTTCTCTCCTTTAGCTTCCTGGAAGAAAGGATTTGTTCATTGAGGCAGATCTCATGAGCCCCTTGGATCGGATTGCCAATGTCTCCATCCTGAAGGTACCAACCCTTTTCTTGGGGAAACTTTTCCCCTGCTTTCTTTGAACAGTTTTTCTCTTCATGAGCATTCCCAGTTCTGAAGAGTGACTCCCTTGACAGGGTAAAGAAAAGCAGCTCAGCAGCCAGGTGTGGTGGTGCATACCTTAAATCCCAGCACTCGAAAGGCAGAGGCAAGTGGATCTCTGTGAGTTTGAGGCCAGCCTGGTCTCCATAGTGAAAACAGGCCAGCTGTGGCTACAGGGAGACCCTGTCTCAAAACAACCAAAAAAAAGAAAAAAAAAGATAAGCAGCTCATGTGGGTAGACAGAGAAGAGACTAATGATCTTGTTTTGTGATGTTTGTATTGTTTAACTTGGGGTTTTGACCGTTTAAGGACGTGAATTTTAAGCCTTTAGTCCCAGCAGAAGCAGGTGGATTATGGGAGCAGCCTGACGCCTAGAGTTAAAGCTTTAAGAAGTTCTCTGTGTGTTGTGCTTTGGGCTTTTCCAGCTCTTACATCCATTGTCTTGTTGGGTTCTCTGTAGCAACATGAAGTAGACAAGCTGTACAAAGTAGAGAACAAGCCAGCCCTCAGCTACAGTGAACAGTGAGTATCTGGGAGCGTGTGTGCTGCCTCCAAGCAGAGAAGGTTCCTCAGGGCACATTTGCCTCTGACTTGTCCTTGGCTCTTGGCTGAGATTTGTAACCAGGCTGTCTGTCATATGGCTCACTTGCTGAGCTTTTACAATGTTTTATTTTTTTTTTGGTCTTTTTTGAGACAGGGTCTCCCTGCAGCCCCAGCTGTCTCTGGAACTCACTATGTGGACCAGGCTGGCCTTGAGCTTTTACAGTTTTACCCCAAGATTTTTAACCTCTAAATGAGTCTTGCTTTCTGCAGTTCCTCCCACTTTGTCCTCTTCCCTCTCCATTCCATGGCATCACCTACAACTGGATTTATTAATTTCCCCAAAATTGTTATCATTCTACTTCTGTCATGAACCCCCAAGGTTCTTGCATGAAGGCATTTGCTGTCAAGCCCAACTATCTGAATTCACTCCCCAGAACCCACATGGAAGGAGAGAACTGACTCCCACAAATTGTCCTCTGACCTGCACATGTGCATCATGGCACATGTGCACCCATATACATGCATGCCCACAAAAATAAAATTTTTAAATGTAATAAAAAATTTGGCCTGGAGAGATGGCTCAGTGCTTAAGAGCACTGTTTGCTCTTGCAGAAGACCCAGTTTCAAATCCCAGCACCCGTATGGCAGCTAACAACCGTCTGTAACTCCAGTTCCAGGGGCTCCAACACCCTCTTCTGAACTCCATGTGCATTGCACGACATGGGTGCACTTAAACACATGCAGGTGATATACTCATACACATAAAAAAAAAATCATAAATGAAATAAAATGAAATATTTTTAAAATGTAATAGAAAATTTTAAAAAGTACCTCTCAGACTTCACATTTCTTATTGGATGTAGTCCAGTTGAGCATCATAGATTCCAAGGCCTTGATGCTCCCTGTGCCATCTTGTTTTTCACATGTCCTCTTCAAGCCTCTGTTGACATGTGCTTCCCATACACATTCCAGATGTGCCTTTACCTTTGGAATGCCCTAATCACTCTGCCTGAAACTGTCCCCTGCCCTCTGCTCTTGTAAAGAACAATGTGTTTTCAGAGCCCAGCCCCACCCTTCCATGAAGCTTTCTGTCTCCCTTCCAGTCCGGGTTGATTTTCTTCTCTGGATTTCTGGGGCATTTTGTTTTGTTCTGTTCTCTTGGTATGTAGTCATATATGGCAGTGCTGGCAATCAAACTCAGGACCTTGAGTGTGCTAGGCAAGCACTCTACAACTGGACCATATTCCCAGCCCTTTGATTTATTTTAAAAGTTTGTCAAACTTCAGTAATGTATACCTTCTCATAGAGGAATAACTTCTTGATACATAGAGAATACATGCATAGACCCAGTTTGAATTGTACTTGATTGATTTTAAATATATATGTGTGTGTGTATGTGTGTATGTGTATATATATATATATGGTTTTTTATGTGTGTCTATGTGTGTATCTGTGTGTGTCCCCAGCTGTCCTGGAACTCACTATGTAGACCAGGCTGGCCTTGAACTCTCAGAGATCCGCCTGCCTCTGCCTCCCAAGTGCTGGGATTAAAATTAAAGGCGTGTGCCACCGCGCCTGGCAATTTAAAATATTTTTTATTTATTATTTTTATTTTATGTGTATGAGTGTATTGCCTGCAGGCATGTGCGTATACCTGTGTCATGCACTGCCCACAGAGGTCAGAAGAAAGCGTTAGATTCCCTGGAACTGGAGTTACAGATGGTTTTTAGCCTTCATGTGGGTGCTGGGAACCAAACCCAGTTCCTGTGCAAGAGCACAGTGCTCTTAACCGCTGAGTCATCTCTCTAGCTCCTGATTAATCTTATATATATGTTTGTGTGTGTGTGTGTGTGTGTGTGTGTGTGTGTGTGTGTAAATGTAAAAGCAATTGATACATGCATCTTTTTTGGCCTGAATCATAAATCTTTTTTACTGAATCATAAATCATTTAAGAATAGGAGCTACTAGGTCCATCCTAGAGCCAATAAAGACACACATATCATCACACTGTACTTGTATTTATTTAGAGGGGTCTTCTGTTGATTGGTGCATGTTGGCCAAGAAAATGGGCATTGCTTTGTCTAGAGTAAGACCTGTAGGCCTGGTCAAGAAACACAAGTGGTCATAGACTTGGTATTGTTTAGTTTCGCCTTAGCTGCTATCATCAGTTTCATGATTTTAGTTAACTTTTTTTTCTCTTTCTTTTTTTCCCATAGATTGTGCTTCTTGGTCAGACCCCGCATTAAGAATATGCGCTACATTGCCAGTGAGTGAACTATGGTACTATGTGTAACTAAGAGCAGGGAAAAGGTGGGCAAGATAGAAGGGCCTTGCCCATAAGGACCCTTTAATAAGAAAAGATTTGCTGGGAATAGTGGTGTACGTTTGTAATTCCTGCACTTGGGAAGTCAAGGTAAGAAGATTGCAATTTGGAGGCTAGCCTGGATAGTGTAGCAAGATCCTGGAGGGAGGAAGAGAGGGAAAGGAAGACGAGACCTAAAGGAAGGCAGGATGAAGCATACATGTCTGAAACAGCCCTGTTCATCTTGGGAAGTTTCTCTGCTCCTTTGCATCTGGCCTATTGCTCACTGAGCTGCATCTTTCTCTCTGTAGATCTTGTCAATGCTGACAAATTGGCTGGCCGAACTCGAAAATACAAGGTTATCTTTAGTCCTCAGAAGGTGAGCTTGGATCCTAGAAGGGGTGATATGAAGGTGAATAAGGATGAAGACTGGGAGTGAGGGGTAAGGGGCCAGTAGCATGCTCGCTTTCATTAATGAATCCATGATTACTACACAGAGAGTGTGTCACCAAACTGCCCCAAAGAAAGTACTGTGGATTGTGAATTGTGAGAACTGGTTTCAACATAGACCTATCTACATAGATCTTTAAAAAAAATTTTTTTTAATTTTAATTAATTAATTTATTTTTGATGTTTTTGAGACAGGGTCTCCCTGTAGCCCCAGCTGGCCTGAACTCGCTATATAGACCAGGCTAGCCTTGAACTCACAGAGATCCTCCTGCCTCTGCCGCAGCCTCTGCCTCCTGAGTTCTGGGATTAAAGGCCACCATGCCTGGCTTTTATTTTTATTTTATTTTATGTGTATGAGTATATTGCATGCATGTAGTAAGTGCACCCATGTCATACAATATGTGCAAAGGTCAGAAGAGGGCATCAGATCCCCTAGAACTGGAGTTAGCCCCCATGTGGGTGCTGGGAATTGAATCCAGATCCTCTGAGTTACCAGTGTTCTTAACCGCTGAGCCATCTCTCCAGCCCTAATCTCTCTCTCTTTTTTTTTGTGGTGCTATGGATCAAATCAAAGTCCTTGGGTATGTTAGGCAAGCACAGCACCACCTAACTACATCGCCAACCCTACATAGTTTGTGGGGTTTTTTTGGTTTTTGTTTTTTTTTTTTTTAAGTGAACTGCTTTATGTTTTTGAAATGAAATCTGCTATGAGTCCCTGTAAACACGTTCCTGTATAGTAAAGGTGTATGATGCTATGCCTTCCCTATGACCCCTTTCCTGTATCCCTCTAATAATAAATAAAATAAATCATCACCTACCACCTTTCATATACTCACCCAAGGGATTTGACTGGGCTGTTTTGAGGTTACTAGAACTACACCACTGTATATTGGAAAAGCCTTTTCTTTTTACTTTAATTGACATATAATAATTGTACACATTTCTGAGATGGGAAAAGCCTTTTCTTACATAGGGAGAAAATTTTAGAAACCATTTATTCCACCTCAACTCTAAGTAGCTGAGGGAAACAAAGCTCACATTCACACAGTGTGAGCCAAGCCAAACTAGATCTCTTTAATAATTGCAGGGTTTGAAGTAGCATCATAATAGCACTTATTTCTTGACTCCTTTGAGCTCCCCTTTCACCTCCTGCCAGCTAGGTGCATCATAGGTCCATCCTCAACCTAAGTGACTAGCAGACATGAGGTACCAGACCTTCACATTGCCCACTGTGGCCTATGAAGCTCTACAAGAAGTGTGTGCAGGTAGAAATGGAAGTTGAAAGGGCAGAGCTGTATTCCTTTCCAGTTTGCCTAAGACAGTTCTAGAGAAAACAGAAGCATTAACTGAGACTGAAGACTCAAACCAGACTATTTGTGTATGAATCCTTGTTTTAGCATTTATTATCTACATGATCTTGGATAAGGTACTTAGCTACTCTGAGTCTCCATTTCCCCATCTGTAAAATGGAGTTGATAATAGTACTATGACTTTTAAGTGACATGACTTTTTGTCTTTGTTAAAATAAGAAATCTAAGGCTGGGAGTGGTGGCGCACGCCTTTAATCCCAGCACTTGGGAGACAGAGGCAGGCATCTCTGTCAGTTCAAGGCCAGCCTGGTCTACATAGTGAGTTCCAGGAGAGTTGAGGCTGCAGGGAGACCTGTCTCAAAAAGACCGAAAAAAAAAAAAAAAATCTAGTGGGATCATAGGCTTATATGTTTTTCTCATTGTGTAAAATAGATGAGGAAAGAGCCAGTGATAATCCTTTTTTCGTTGTTTGTTTTTTGAGATAACCTGGAACTCACTATGTGTTGACCAGGCTGGCCTTGTCTGCCTCTGCCTCTGGAGTGCTGCAATTAAAGGCATGTACTATCCCACCTGGCCCTGTTCTTGTTTTTATGGTTCTTAGAAGATTGATAGTGCAATATTGCAAATAATTATCTTGACTAGGAATGAGAACATGAAGTATAATGTCTTTTTTTGTTTTTTTATTGTTTTTAGTGACAGGGTCCCATAGGCTGAGCTTGAAGTCACTATCTTCCCACCTCATCCTCCCAAATGCTAGAATCACAGGCATATGTCACCATGCCTAACCTAAATATAACACTATTAGGGCAAGAAATTATTGAATAAGATAGCCAAGTTATTAAGAGACATGGCAACAATTTTTAGTTTTTGGATTTTTATAACCTCTCCCTTTTCAATATTGTTTCCAAGAACAAATTTATATTAACAGAAAATAGAGAAGTTCATAAGTAACAGCTTCAAATAATCCTAAAAGCCATTGTATTAAACAGAAAAACAAAATTGGTATTTTTGTGAATGTTCTCTACTTAATATCCTGTCTAATCAAGTTCTTTTAAAAAGTTTTTTATTACATTTTACATGTGTGTGTGTGCGTGCGTGCGTGCGTGCGTGCGTGTGTGTGTGTGTGTGTGTGTGTGTGTGTGTGTGTGTGTGTAAAGGCATGCCACACATATGGGACTTGCAAGAGCTGTCTCTCCTTCAACTTTGTGGGTCTGGGAGATCAAATTCAGGTCATCAGGCCTGGCAGCGGGCATCTTTATGGCTGAGCCATCTCGTCAACCCTTATTCAATAACCTAGTTTTATATCAGGAAAATCCTCTCACTCAGTACTTAGGGGGAAGAGGGTGCATTTTTGTCTTCTTGAGACACGTTATACTAACTAGGAGGGTTGGCAATTTTCAGGCTGGGCTCTGGATTTGATTTGTTAGCATTAGAAGCTACGGATGTCATTCCCTGTGCCATAGAAACAAAATTGAAAAAAGGAAAAAAATCAAGCCTATGGATTTTAGTGTTACTGGCAGAAATGAGTGAGAGATGAGTAGGATTCTTCTGCATAACAATAGACTAAGGAGCTCATAACACGAATCTGTACCTTTAAGAATGAGTTACGTGGGTGAAGGCAAGCAGCCCTGGAAAACATTAAGAACAGCACCTAGTCCATAAGTAGTGTTTGAGATACATTAGCTAGTCGTGTCATCATCATTGTTGGACATGAGTATCCTCTGTACACTTCCTAATTATCCCCCACCCCCCAAAAAATTTGTTTTTAGTCCTGTGTGGTGGCGCACACGTTATATCCCAGCACTCAGGAGGCAGAGGCAGAGGCAGAGGCAAGCGGATCTCTGTAAGTTCAAGGCCAGTCTGGTCTACATAGTGAGTTCCAGGCCAGCTGGGGCTATAGGGAGACCCTGTCTCAAAAACACCAAAAGAAAAAAAAAATTGTTTTTGAGACAGGGTCTCACTATGCAGTCCCAGGTGGCCTATAATTGACTATGTTGACCAAGTTGGCCTCAGACTCACAGAGGTCCACCAGCCTCTGCCTGAGTGCTAGGAATAAGGGTGGATACCACCATACCTGACTAACTGCAATTTTTTTCTGCTTCACTTGTTTCAGAGGAGAAGATACAGTCTTTTCCTTCCCAAGATCAGCAGAGCCTTTTCAGCCATGTACCCCCCCATCCCTGTCATCCTTTTCTTGTCTTGCTTCATAAGTAGACCTCTTCTGTCTTTACCTATGTCAAGTAGTTTCTGAGTAATCTCTATCTGCCCTTTCATCTCTTCTGCTAATAGGACAGATGAAATAAGGGATTGCTCTTGTTTCATGGCTTGTGTTTAGAGTGATCTGCTTGCATGGCTTCTGTTTCCTCATCTCTGGTTTCTTTTTTTTTTTTTTTTTTTTTTGTGTTTTTTTTGTTCCACATGGTGGCTACGAACCATCCTTAACTCCAGTTCCAGGGGAATCCGAAGCTCTCTTCTGACCTCCACAGCATTGCATGACACAGATGCATTTACATACATGCAGGCAACACACTCATACACAAAAAAAAAAATTATTTAATGTGTATGAGTGTATTGCCTACATGAATGTAAATGCCCCCATGTTGTTGACGTCAGAAGAGGGTGTCAAATTCCCCTGGAACTAGAGTAAGAGAGCTGTCAGTCGCCATGTGGGTGCTGGGAACCAAACTGTGTCCTCTGCAAGAGCAGCCAGTGCTCTTAATTGCTGAGCCATCTCTCTAGCCCCTCATTTTTATTTATTTATTTATTTTTTGGTCTTTTTTGAGACAAGGTCTCCCTGTAGCCACAGCTGGCCCAGATTCGCTAATGGAGACCAAGCTGGCCTCGAACTCACAGAGATCCACCTGCCTCTGCCTCCCAAGAGCTGGGATTATCATTTTTAAATTTTTAAATTTATTTTATGTGTATGAGTGTTTTGCTTGCGTGTAAGTTCACCCATGTATGCGATGCCTCCATAGGCCAGAAGAGAGTGTTGGAACCCCTGGAACTGGAGTTTGCAGACAGCCATCATGTAGGTGTTGGGAACCCCACCTGGGTCCTCTGGAAGAGCAGCCGGTGCTCCTAAACACTAACCATCTCTCTAGTCCCGACCTTCTTTTTTTTTTTGGCTTTTTGAGACAGGATCTCCCTGTAGCCCCCAGCCGTCCTGGAACTCACTGTGTAGACCATGCTGGCCTTGAACTCACAGAGATCTCTCTGCCTGTCCCTCCCCGGTGCTGGGATTAAAGGCTTATGCCACCATGCCCAGCTGACCTTTTTCTTTTTAAAGAACTTTTAAATTGCATTTATTTGCATCTGTCTCTCTGTGTATATGTATGTGGGTAAGTGTGTTTGTGTGGGTGCACACATGCCACAGCACACATGTGGAGGTCAGTGTGTGAGAGTTCGCTCTTCCCATTTACCATATGGGCTCTGGAGCTTGAACTTAAGTTATCAGGCTTGGCAGCAAGCACCCTTACGTACTGAGCCATCTCAAAATCTTTCATCCTTTCATGTAGTCTTCCTAAGATCTCTGTGGTTCTCAGTTGTGTGATGAGGCACACCTATAACCTCAGTACTTAAGAGGCTGAGACAGGAAAATCTGGAGTTCCAGGCCAGCCAGCGCTACATAGTGAGACCCTGCCTCAAAACAAATAATTGGATGTGGTAGTACATGCTTATAATTCTGATACTCAGGAGGGAGAGGCAAGAGGATCAGGAGTTCAAGGCAGCCTGTACCAAATAAGACAGTGTCTCAAAAATAAAAACAAAATGGGGCTGGAGCGATGGCTCAGCGGTTAAGAACACCGGTTGTTCTTGCAGAAGATCTGGGTTCAAATCCCAGCACCTACATGGCAGCTAACAACTCTCCATAACTCCAGTCTCAGGGGATCTGACAGCCTCTTCTGAC